TCCTCCCCCACCCACCCGTCCCAGTGAACACTGACATCATCCTGCACAAATCACCCTGACAAGACGGAGCGGCTCATTGACGATGCGCGTGGCGTGGACGCTGTCTTTGCGCATCCTTACTGTCTCACACATACAGAAGAAGATGTTGCAGAGCCGTGATTCCAGCCTGGACCACAGGGGGCGTGGTGTCTGTGCTGCTCTCATCCAGATGTTATTCTGATTAAAAACAGTATTTTTTTCAGCAGCAGCGAAGAGAAATTACAGGAAATAAAAATCAAAGGCCGCAGCAGTGGTCCAGTGACTGGTGCTCTTGCCTTACAGGAAGAAGGTTGCAGGTTCCAGTGACATTGTTGTTTTGCTGTTAGCAAGCAAGGTGGGAATTTAGTGTGACCCGTAAAATAAATGTAAACCAGTTCTGTTCTTATGAAACTGGTACACTGAGGAGGCCGGGGGGGGTGGACTTGTTTGCTAACTGCATGTGTTCACACCTGTATTTCTGTGTCTTCAGAACCCCAACGCTCACCCCCGGCCCGTCTCCCAGGACCTGGCGGGGTTCTGGGACATGCTGCAGCTGTCCATCGAGAACATCAGCCTGAAGTTTGACGAACTTCACCAACTCAAAGCCAACAACTGGAAACCTCTGAGCCCTCCGGACATCCAGGTGCAGACGGGCATGTCAAAGGTCGCCCCCCACGTGTGACCCGCTCATGTGACCAGAGTCTTGAAGCGAAGTGCCTGGCTGACCCGCATGGCTTCTGTGTTGTTGTGGTTGTCGTGTTAGCCTGCCTGACGTCACCACTGGTGTCTGTGTGTTCTGTTCTGTTCTGTCTCGTTGCCGACAGTGAGCTGCTTCTGAGAAGCTTCTCTACCGCCACGCGCCGTTGGGGCCCGTCCGTCTCCAATGGTCGCTTTTACCTCGCGCCGTGACTGCCACCGTGCTCTCTTACCCCACGCAATGGATGCCACTGTGAACCATAACCTCATTCAAACTGCATGCTCTGACCGTGCTAATGCTAACGCTACTACAGCCTGGCTGCAGCTGTGGCTACTCTGACTAACGTTGGTTAAAACCTTTGTCCTTCCTGTCCAGGAGAGAAGGATGCCCCCTCCTGTGCCAAAGAAGTCCCACAAGGGCCACCCTCCCCTGGCGAGGGACCGCTCGCTGGAGAGCTCCGAGCGCCACCGTCTGGAGGCTCGCAAGCGCCTGCTAGCTGCCAAACGTGCCGCTTCGGCTCGTCAGAGCTCGGCCACCGAGAGCGCAGACAGTATTGAGATCTATATTCCCGAGGCTCAAACCAGACTATGAGACGAACGCCAGTACCTGACGCACTGTCCCTCACGCCGTAGCACTGAATAGACAAGCTAGGGTGCTAGCATACTTTTACAAAATTCTATTTTTTTGCGGATCACTGTGGGGTCAGCCAGATGGGGAGGTGTTCACTCACCTACTGTGTATTTGCAGTATTTATGGATATATTTATTTATTGATTGATTTATTTATCTGCTCTACACCCCGTCTTCTTTCCCTCCACCCAGCTTTGATGTAGCGCCGCGCTGTTCCTCCAGAAAGTCCCGTCAGCCCTGAACGAAACACTCGTATATTAAAGTGATTTAAGACGTTAGCCTGCTAAGACGTTAGCCAGGTGTAGCACAGTAGCATATGCTTGATGATAATGTGTTTCAGGAACTCTGATGCACATGTGTGTCCCACATCCACACGTGTCATTCTTTGTTGTACCAGTTTTGTAGGAAAACACTCAGTGTGTTTACATGGCTTTGTTAGCTTGTTTAGCATGTTAGCCGTGTATTTACCTCACGGTGAACAAGTTCACGCTAACGAGAGAAATAAAAGCTGTTTTACGTTGATATAATGTTCGGCACAGGAAGGTGTGTGCACCAGAGTGCTAACATGTTAGCCCCTGAGTGCTAACATGTTAGCCCCTGAGTGCTAACATGTTAGCCTCTGAGTGCTAACATGTTAGCCTCTGGGGACCAGGCCGTTGGTGTATGTATTTGTGCGGGGCAACAATTCAATTTTAACTACGATTAATCTAAACAATAGTGGTGTATTACAGCTCCAAGACAGAACTGATCAGAACTGTAGGTACAGAGTCAGTGAGCAGCAGACTCTAAAATAATAATAATAATAATGATGATAATAATAATAATGATGATTATTATTATTATTGTTGTTGTTGTTGTTGTGGATATTAAGGCGTTAGTGAGTGAACCTGTTTCCACCCAGTCCTGCTCTGATTGGTTCAGAGTCAGGGTTAGTCTGACTCAGTAGCAGTGACATCATCATGTAAACACACTGACAGATTCCATGATTCCAAGTGCAGCCTCTGTAGCCTCTGGGTGGATGTGGATGTGAACCCACAGATCAGCAGCACTGGGTCCAAGTTTTAGAGTCAAAGATCTGAGTCTGGAATCAGTGACTGAACCACAGACCAGGAAATTATGGTCTGTGTCTCCGACTCACCTCCAGCCATCTGTCTGGAAGCAGTGGTTCTAGTGCAGTACTTATCAAATAGTGGGGCGGGCCTCCCTGGGGGAGGGTGGAGGAGGGGCAGGGGGGGGGGGGGGGGGGGGTGACTCAGTGTTCAGGTTAGGACGGAGCAGAGTGTGTGTCTGATGATGGTGTGGTTTTTATTATGCACTGACATCCAGGCCCTGATACTGTGTTTCTGTTTCTGTTGTTGTTGTTGTTGTTGTTGTTGGTTCTTCGTCAACACAACGACCACCTGCGTCTCTTCTGTTTCAGTGTCAGCCTTAATTTCTAATATGAGAGTTGAGCACAACAGCAGTCTCAGGGGAAGAGGTGTGTGTGTGTGTGTGTGTGTGTGTCATGTGACCCACCATGTTTGTACAGAAACTCTAACTCCAGTTCAGATGTGGCCATTTTTATCTGACAAACCTCCAAAAAAGTTAGTGCACTTTGTAGATACTTTTTTGTAACTAAATGTTTGAACAAAGAGAAGAAGTGTGAGTGTGAACTGAAGGTGATCCTGTTGAACGCCTCAGCCTGCGGGGGCATCGGGTCCAGGACGGACTTTGTTGTGTTAGTCTAGAACTGTCAGTCGGTTCTGTTCTGTTCTGATCGGATCAGTGGTTCCCCAAACGTTTGGTCGAGTCCTCTTCTACCCACAAATCAGTGTGGTGGAAAAAAGAAAAAATGAACTGAGTTGCTGTGTACCCTGCGGTTGTCCCCGCCCCCTACCTTGAGAGCCAGTGTATTGGACTATAATGTTTTCCACTTGTTTGTCCGTAAAACTCCACATTCTCAGTGAAACAAGTTGCCTGATGAAGTGACTACTGCGTACGGTACTGCGTACGGTACTGCGTTGTTTTTCCTGGAGGGGTCGGACGTTTGAATCCCAGCGGCTCAGTAGGAGATAGAACCACAGGTTGTTGCCATTTGTTGTTTGTTTTCTTGAACCGTGTCACATGACTGATCTCTGATCTCCTCTGTTTCTACGACACCAACATATCAGTGTGAGTTAGGAACCACAGTGTTGGATTGTGGGTGATTCTGGTGGAACCACACTCCAGCAGTCTACTGACACTTGTGATGTAAGTATATGAACTGAATATATATATAAATATATAATGATCCCACTGTAAATGTTAGCCTACAGACAGATAAACATTTTGTAACTCATGTTATTACACTGTTGATGTCATGGCACGTGTACGAGCTCAGCATTAAAGAAAATGCGTCTACAAATATATATATATATATACACACACACACACACATATATATATATAAATGTATATATCATTGGTTTAACCTCTCCGTCTTCATTTCCTTCTCACATGTGTTTTCTATTGCATTATAATTAAACAGATTACAAGGCCAGGATGGAGTGTTTTAAAGGGCATTCCCCCCCCCCACAGGGGCGGGGCCCCATAATTAGACCCAACTCTGGGCCGGGCCTCGGCGCTCCTGTAGGGGCAGCGTCTGGTGATTTGTCATTCACACATCAGTCCTGCTGAGAGGAGTCTCCCTGACCTCAGTGGCTGTGGGTTAATGAGGGGGGGGTGTGGGGGGGGTCCATCTTTGTATGAGTCCTGACCCTGGGTCACTTGATCCCTTACATATGGACCACAACTGCCCACCCTGAGCCTGGAGGTCTGTTTGATGGCCACCCCCACCCCCCACCCCCTCCATCTGATTGGACGCTGCCTTGTCACATGGGCTGTCACTGTGGACGGACGGCGTCTGACGTCAGGTTGAAAAAGCATTTTGAACATTTGCTGGAGGTCAACAGGGGTCGTTTCAGGGACTGAGACCAAATGATGAAGTTGGGTTCGAGAATCAAACCAGTGACCTTCTGTTTGGAAGACAGTCCTGGTGTCCGTCCTCACTGCAGTGTCTTCGGCCGGACGCTGTCTCCTGAGACACCGTGGACAAGGAACCGTTGACGTCTGCTGTTTCTGCTGCTAATTTATGTAGGATTATGTTAATTGGACGAAGCCGTGACGGGAATCTCTGACCCTGACGTCAGGTCTAAACTCTGTTCTTGTCTCTGTCCCGCACTGAGGGGTGACTCAGTAATCCTCATCTAATCTGACAGGATTACCCAGAACTCACTGTGTTGGACTGAACTGAAGAAACAACAACAACAACAACAACAACAACGAAACAGAGAACAAGTCCGATGTAGAAAAACAAAACTTTATTTAATCCCATGTGACCTCTGTTTGCCACAAACATTGCACAGTATGAAAAGAAATCACATCATTGGGCGAGGTGTCACGACAACTCTACACATGGTCCAATCCCACGTCCACATGGTCCACATGGTCCACATGGTCCACGTCTTTTTTGGTGATCTCAATAACAAAAGAAAAGTCTGTAGTCGTCTGTAGTGTGTCAGTGTTCCAGTCCACTGGCCGTCGTCTTCCTCTGAGTCGATGGGATGAAGGCTCCGACTGAGAACCTGCTACATTGGTCTTCTGGAATATTCCCTCCGTGGGAACGAGAGTAAAAAAAAAAGCATCAAGAACAAAAAGGCTTTTAAAATATCTAAAAGTAAAAAATAAGATGAAAAAAAAATGAAAAGACAGAACATTTGTACTACAGTAGTGAAGAAGTTTTCTGCTGTAAGACACTGAGATGACCTTCTGCCTTCAGTGTGCAGACCAACCAGCAACCGTCTCTGAAATGTCAACATCAACAGTCTCCACCGACGCCTCCCATTGGTCCGTGAGGGAGTGTGGGCGGAGCTCTCAAAATGATACAAAGAACAGGCAGCATTTCTGTGATAACATTTTTGGTCCCTGTGTGCAAATAAGATACACATGAAAGATACAAAGACATGGATATGAAATGAATCAACAACAAACAGCCAAACGAGAGTAGGTCACCGGAGGTCACCGGAGGTCACCGTCACTGGGGCAGAAAAAAAATCCTCCTCCAAAAATAGAAATGATCAGGCTTCTCATGTGGGTTTGTTCTGTTCCCGTGCAGAAAATGTCAGTGGACTGGAAAGGAGTTCCAGAGTGGAGCCACAGAGTCAGTCTCCTCCTCCACCTCCTCCACCTCCTCCACCTCCTCCAGTCCTGGGTCTCTTCTTAGGAGACCAGCTGTTTGGCCTGCAGCTCCATCTCTGCGGCCCGCTTCAGGGCCACGTCCACCAGGAGCTGGAAGCCGCTGAAGTCCTGCGTGAGGTCTGGAGGAGTGGGTGGAGGGGTGTTGAACAGCCCGCTGCGGGGGCTCAGGTTGCCCTCCATGCCGAGGATGGTGGTGGTGCTGGTGGTGGTGGTGGCGGGGAGCGGCTGCGTGCCCGGACCCTCGTCTTGGCACCGCAGCAGGGCCTGGGCCGACTGCAGCAGCTCAGCTGCCCTGTCACAGTTCACTCCCAGGGCGGGGGGGTGGCAGGAGGGGGGGCTAGCTTGGATCGCTGCAGTGACAGTGGTGTGACAGATGACCGAGGGGCGGGTGGGTATAAGGCCCGGGGAGGGGGACGAAGAGGTGGGAGAAGGTGTGGAGGGGGAGGCGGCCTTCCTCAGGACACCGGGCGTGGCAGGTTCAAAGCTGGACGGGTGGAGGGCGCGTTTGTCGTAGTTGTCGTCGGTGCCAGCGGGGGTGCTGCTGTGTTTGGGGGACTGGGAGCTGTCGGAGAAGCTGTCTCCAGCCTTGCTGCCTTTCCTGGAGATGGTGAACTGGTTTGGATCTTTGCCGTCTTTCCTCAGCATCTCTGGAAGAAGTCGGCGCCGGGCGTTGATGAACCAGTTACACACCTGCAGTCAGACACGAGGACGAAGGCGCCGTCAGGAAACATCATCACACACTTCACAACTACAACAGCAACAACGAGGAACAGGGGCTTTTAGTCAGTTGCCCTCTGACCCCGGGGGAAACCAGGTTACACTAGTTATAAGAAAGTTAATAATTTAAAAAAAGTTAATAATTTAAAAAAAAATCTGAATTCCACATCAACTGAAACTGAAAATATATTTTTGAATAAATATAAATTTCAGTAAAGACAGGAAACAGTCCACTGTTTGGACAAGAAAACTAGGCCTTTTGGAACCAGCCCCCTCTGGCCAGCAGTGGTACTGCAGCGGTAAAAAATAAACAAGGAGAGAACAACTGCTCCATGTGAGACAGAGCTGACACCAGGAGAACTGGAACTGATGTTTGTAAACAGGACCATCGTGTGTGTCTGCAGCTTCACCTCAGGCCCTAACAGTCGCTGAGGTCACATGACTACAGACCCCACAACAGACGCTCCTGGACTGGACTGACCTCCTTTAAACCGGCCACTCCTGGACCAGAACCTTTTTTTCTTCCTCCACTAAGACCGTCCCAGATGTTCACCAAAACTAAACTTTCACTTCACCATAACACCCCCCCTCCCCCCTCCTCCCCCCCCGGTCCAGCAGGCTAGTCCTAACTGGCTCGGAGGCCTGGAGCTCCAACTCTGTAAATGACTCTGCATTGTTCCCAGACAGCTGGGATGGGACGGGGCTGGAGGGAGGGAAATTCCTGTCCTGAGCGCCCGGGCCCCGCCCACAGCACACAGGGAGTCAGTTTACTCACGTTGTCTCATACACTTTAATGTTGCAACACGGAGCTGCAGCGGACGACCTTCAGTGCACCGCAGCGCTCGTTTGTTTGCCAGCGGCACAGGAAATGATTCAGTGGAGCTGACGCTCACTTCCTCCTGACTTTTATGGAGATTTATGTCCCGCTCCCTGAGGCGGCGGTCCAGGCTGCGTCCTCACCTGCAGTGTGGACAGCTGAGTCTGCTTGGACAGCAGCGCCTTCTCCTGCTCAGAGGGGTAGGCGTTGTAGCGGTGCTCGTACAGCCAGTCTCTGAGGATCTGCACCGACTCCTTGGGTAAATTCCCTCGCCGTTTCCTCTTCCCGCTCCCTCCCGTGCTGGACGACAGGTCCAGGGGGGCGTCCACGCTGTCCTCGTCGTCCGTCTCACTGCCCGACAGCATCACCAGACCTGCAGAGACACAGCCGTGCATGAGGACGGAGGAGAGACACCACTGACATACTGTGTGTCAGTGTGTCAGTGTGTGTGTCAGTCAAACAGTTGTCAGGGATGTTTCCAGCAAATCGTTAACTGAACTGTGCTGTGAAGCTGTCGGGGGGAGGGTGTTTGGGGGGGCTGCAGCTGATGTGTCAGAAGCAGGCTGTCAAGTTCAGCCATGTGATTCGAGGGTGTTGGAGGAGGAGGAGGAGGAGCAGGAGGAGGAAGGAGGGGGGAGATGGAGGGTGAGACGTCACAAAGGCTGCTCTGATGCTGTGTCAGTTATAACACCAGGACGGCAGAGGGTGAGGAGGGTGAGGAGGGTGAAGGTGACCACAACAACAGGAAGTCCAACACACACACACACACACATATCTGACAGGTCAACGTCAGTCCTGGTCACATGACCTGTCAGTCTGCTCTGAAACCTTCCACAGA